GGGGGGGGGGGGGGGGGGGGGGGGGAAAGGTCAATTGTTGATTATGGAGATTAGAGGTTTGAACGTTGATTTTACGAATGGTGAATTGTCAACATGGAAAACTCGGAAGAATGAATCAAAGGGGCCGAGTGGAAATTCCCCACTCAGCCCTCGGTAAGAATGATTTTTGAAGTGGAGTACAGGGGGGTCTCGGAATTTCAGTATTTTTTTTCTTCATAAAACCCAGAAAAACCCTTGACGAAACAGCCGATTAATCTTTGAGTAGTTGTAAAAGCCTCCTCGCGGAATCCCCTTTTCTCCCCCACATTTTTTACCTCTTTTTCCTTCTCTCCACTCTTGTATTTGTTCAGGGGGTCGTGGGGGGAGGGGGGAGGGAGGTGGGAGACGGGAAACAAAAGGAGTCAGAGGAGTTTTGAGTCAAGTTGCTTTTAGGTTAATCCACTGGGAAACGCACTTTGGCGACATTTTGCCCCTCAACATTGTCCCTTGGATGACGACGAGCCGATAAACGAGGCAAAGCATTACCCCCGGGGAAGATAATTGATGGAGCGCTTTGGCTTGTCGACGGTTTGTGTCGAAATAGCAGACATAACTGGCCCACTTGGATACAGACAAAGCGACAGTACAGTAGTTTGAAGTTTACAGCCGCCTCTTACTTTGATGATGAGTATTTCCCTTTGACTACGAATCATTGAGTCGTTCATTGAATGGCACACCCTTGGAACCCCCTAGGGGGAGGGGGGGGGGAGTAAGGGGGATTTGGTCTCAATTATCAACTGAATCATTCGGCTAATCGATGATTAAACCCCAGCGAAAATTCCACGACAAAGTAATAACATGTGTTTGACGAATGCCAGAGGCTTTATTTGCGGAGAAAACGTTTGAGTGATATATATTCTGTTTTCTCCCCCCTGTCGCCCAGTCAGCCGTTTCAACTCCCCCTATTGCCATCACGTCGTTTCATACCACGTGCTCGAGAGGCGGTAGACATCCCGAAAGACACCACTCAGCTATAATTATTGCTCTACATAATTATTTTCACACCCGACAATTTTTTACTCGTTATTAGGACTTTATTCGCATGTACCACTCGTGTCTTGTCGTCTCGTGGCATTAATCGTCGATAAAAACGACGATAAATTGAGGAAATAGGCTAATGATTTTTCAGAGTAACGAATCTGGAGTAAGTGAAGCAGTCAATGGAGAAAAATGAATGAAAGGCCAACCGGAAGTCCCCCTCAGCCGTCCACCCAAACTCATAAATTCGCCCAGTGTTTATAAACAAAACAAATAACTAATCTGACGATTGATTTACCTGTCCGACGGCAAGGGCGATGTCTCTCCTCAAGTATAAGCGTGTTTGGCACCAGTTGGCACGCGTATTACTTGTCGTTTCACCGAGAGGCGTCTTCCTACCTATGAAGACTGCACACCTCTCTGCGCTATAAATCCACCGATCGTGTTCATGATTTCTCATTAATCACACCAGAGCACGATAAACCGGCCCAACAATCGTAGTTATGCCCAGGAAAAATCGCCAGTTAACCAACGACAGTTGAAATAAAAAAATTTCCGAGGTTTTTTATCCCCCGAGAAACAACCCGAACGCTACTCTCACTCACAGAACACTCTCTGGGTCCACTGAACATTTATTTTAGCCGGGATCACCTCGACAACATTAATTTAGCGTCACACGTGCCACTGATAACAGTCACCACCGGTGTTTAGTATAGGTAACGGGGTCTATCGGTCTTTATTTAATGAATGAGAAAAAAAATCCCCCGGAGTTATCACAGACAAAACGTGAGCCCAACAAACATCACACCGTTGCACATCGTCGCCATCAACTACCCACTCTTCTTTTTCCCTCCACGGGCTCTCCCTCTCCTCGACGTTCTCCCTTCTCCCTCGTTCCGTTCCTGTTCTGCAGTCTCGTCTTCTCCTTGTTCTCACTCGCCCCTCCTTTTTTACCTCCACCTTATTCCGTGGAACCTCTCCCCTGTCGCTCGCGGTTAGGAACTTTGTCTCTTTCTTGGCAGTGACGGATTGGCTGGGCCGCGCGCCCCCGGACTCTCCTCGGGACGCCTTGGGCTCACTTTTGGCGGAGATTCTCCATCCGAGGGAGCCATTCTCCAGAATTTTTTGGCGTTCTGCGTGTCTAGGTGACGGGGGGCTAGGGGGTCTTCGATTTTTTTGGGAATTTTAGTCCAGTTTGCAGCGACGTCCGTCGGAATTTTATTATCGGCCGCCGACGGCCCTGGACTTTCGGGGAGCGGGAGGGAGAGGGTGAGTGGGAGGGAGCGACGTTGTTTTTGGAGGCGAGAGGCATCTCGTGAGGGAATGCTGAAGATGGTCGGAGGATAAACTCCATCAGTAGATTTTATCCTATTTTGCTCCGAATGGAAGCGAAATTGGTTAAAATCTTTTTAACAAAGTAATTGGTTAGTTATCACGGATGAAAAAATTTAGTAGAAAAGCGAATTCGTTGGAAAATTCTATTGGAATTCGATTGAGCTTTCTATTAGTTTTTGGCCGATTCTATTGAAATATTCAATTCGATTTTTCTACATAACTTATTCAATTTAGATATGTTCTATTGAACATTTCAATAGAATTGGCCAAAAACTAATAGAAAGCTCAATAGAGAAATCCAATAGAATTTTCTAACGAATTTGCTAGGTTTTTCTATTAAATTTTTTCGAGCGTGATCTTTTAGATGTGTAAAAAACTTATCTTTTAGGTGGGCTTATGTCTGTGCAAAATGCCATCTTTTGACAGATAGTTAAAGAGATTCTTCAAATTTATCAAAAAGTTATCTAAAAGACTGTCTTACCCAAACATTTTGCACAGCCGTAAGAAAGTTTTTTTGCTGGGATGACCATCAATATGACATTTCTTCAATATTAAAAGGATTTCCGACTTACATTGATGAAGGTTTAAAGAGATATACTCATCAAAATTAAAAAATAGTATAATATTAATAATTTCAATTTTCGATTGATGATGAATTAAAGATTTGAGAATGTGGAACTGTAAATTTTGCATTGAGTAAATAATTCTAATTTCATAAAGGGGATTTTCGATTAACCAAATAATCGATAGTATTCCTACCTAATTTATTGATTAATAAAATAATTCAGAATTTGAATATTTTAATTGATGATGATTACTTAAGTAGTGACAAATTTAAGAGTGATATTAACTAATTCACGGCTTCCAAATTTAATGGCAATTATGATTTATCAATATGGCTATCCCGGCTTTTTTGTTTATCGAAAATGTAACCAACAATGAAAAAACAATAACAAAATAAGTGGAAAATTGCTCTTAAAGTGAGATTTAGTTAAAGTCAGATTTCTCATGTATTTAAGATCGATTATATATGTCTAAAAACGAATAAATAGTGCAAAAAAATTATTGTTTATCGTTCGACTGCCCTGCAGACGCTTAAAATGTTGAAAATAGTCCAGGACCTCCAATTTTTGAGGTAGAGGTTTTTTTTTTTTAATTTTGAAGAAATGGATACAATAACAATTTTGAATTAGTCATGTTTAATTATGTTACATATTTTTTTGACACATAATCGAAGTTGTTTTGGGATTTTTTAACCAAATTTGCGGAATTTCGAGAAGAAAAAATTGATAATAAAATAGATCCAGACCGAAACCCAACTTGAATGGCGGCTAAAATACTCATTTTGATAATAAGAGTTACTGAAAAAAGACGAAAAAAATTAAGTGACATAATTTTTGAAAACTCAAGTTTTTCATTTTTTTTTAAACCGGTATTATGAGCACCTAGGGATTGAAAAAAAATCCCCAAAATCTTCTTACAGATGGTAGAAAATGAAAAATTTTGAACCATCATAAATTAAAATCGGCTGAATAGAACCCGAGTTATTGAAAAAAAAAAGAAAAAAAAGAAATCATATCTCCGAAATGGGCTGTCGAAAAAATCTGAAAAAAATTGAGAGATAGTTTTTCCAGCCCCCCAATGGTAGAAAAAATCGGGATCAATTTCCAAAAGGGTGGGGGTCAGCCGCTGACTCCTATTGATATAACAGCATTTTCCCGCTTATTTTTATCAGTTTTATCTTGCGCCGGGAAGGGGGGGGGGGTGTGGCGGAGGATGAAGAGGAGGAGGAGGGATTAGTAATGTGTTGGTTTTAAAGATCAAGTGAAGACGGAAGGAGAGAAAGGGTTTTTTTCCAGAGCTTTTTCCGCTGTTTCAGAGGATCAAACGGTTTATTGTCTCTTTGATGTTCAAAGGGCTTTGTTGCATTGTCCCCTCCGGCTTTCACACCTCTCTTCAAGATCAAAGGACAATCGTTCGAGAATTATTGGGGGTGTTACGGGAGAATTAGTTGAGTTTTATTGTAGAATTGGGGTGTCAGCGGTATTGAAAGTGGGCTTGAGTGGGCGGGTGAGGGGTGGATGATTGAATTGGTGAATTTTATTTTTGAGGAGATTATCTTGAGGGGAGTTTTTCGGGGAGTTGCGGGTGAATTTATTAGTGTGAGATAACGGAGGTAAATTAATTGCTCGGGAGATAGGACTTATTTCGTGATTAAGTGGGAAGAAAGTGTTGAGGATTGTTGACACGTTTGAATGAAGGGGCTGTGAGGACGCGCCGCGGGTTGGCGCATGCGCAGGGCTGCGGGTGGAAGACCAAAACAGAAAGATTCGGGGGCTCCGTGATTCTTGATGTTTTATTGGAAATTCATGGTTATTACGGAGTGACAGGTGGCGATATCGTTTTTTAAGAAGAAGCTGGAAGAGGTGAGTTCGTTATGTGAAGACAAATAATAGGGAAATTTGATTTAGTGGTGGGTAATGACTCTGGAGCGGAAACTTAACCTCTTATGCTGAAGATTTGGAGTGTTGATCCATTCAGAATAGGCGATTTTTCACATTCATGGACGATTATTTATTAAAAAATAGTAATTATCATAATTAATATAAATAAATTTCAATTCTGAAGGTTTTACCCTCTGATATGTAATTTAAATCATCGCATCTTCACGCTCATTTCGATAAATATTGGACTAATGATGTGTTCACCTTAGCTAGATGAACGTAGGGTCATTTACCTTACTATTTTGTGCCAAACATGCAAAGGGTGCGCCGGAATGAAAATTTTTTATCGTAAAAATAGATTTAGTAGTTCAAAAAAAATTGCATTCTCTTCCAGCACTACTCCTTCGTTATTCGATACTCCTACACGTATTTCGCTCCCGAAAAATCTTTGTTTTATGCGAAACAAGGGATAGTAGTTTTTCGTTTCGACTGTCTAATAATCGCAGACAAGAAATGAACCCTTAAATGAAACAATAATAATGATATGATAGCAATCTTGTAACTTAGGGATTAAATATTTGTTGATAATTTTTCCTCTATATGAGATATTTTCATCGTGAAAAGGCACCGTCTGGTGTGAATTATCCCTCTCTTGAGTCAAATATTTCGTTGCTGTGGAGGCAGAATAATTATTCATGTTTGAGACTTTGAAATTCGAACCAAAGAAATTCTTTTTTGGCAATTTTCAACTAGCGATTTTGTTGGCCTAACCAAGACTTGTTTGACAACGTGTTTGTTTTTCTCTCAGTGTACTTTACTCTTTCCTCCATAACATCTGTAATAAAAAAATATTTGTCCCCAGTAAGAATCAGCAGAATGTCCAAATACGTCGACTTGGCGAAGGTACCCACAACCTACGCAAAACGAATGAATCGCCTGAGCAATCGTATCTTCGGTGAGGTATTGCGACCAACTGACAATAAATCGATGAAAGTCGTCACCCTATTCAGCGAAAAACCGGTGAACAAACGTCCTGAGATTGTTGACTATTATCCCAGGCATGTGGAGATCGGATGGCTGATGAAAAATTTGAGGGAGTACGGTCTCTTCCGAGATGAACATCTGGATTTCAAAGAGGAGATTGAGAGACAGAGGATTCTGAAGGGGAAGAAACCCAGGAGGAAGTATCAAGGGCCTCCGAAGGGGGAGAAGAAGAAGGAGGAATAGGTCTCGTTTTCATTTCTGTTACTAGGATAATTAATTCAATATGCAATAAATTTTTTTGGATTTTTAAGAGTATCAAGTGCTTTATGATTCTTTGAATGATCAATTTATCAATTCATCATCATCTAGTTTCAGTTCTCAATTCATTTTTCATTCTCAGAACAGGTATGTGAGTGTTAGCACTTACAGGTACATTTTTTATGTAGAGAAGATAAAAGTATAAAAACGTCGTTTTTATATTTCTTGCATCTTCTTTTCTACGTCGGGATCAGAGATAGACATAATCATAAATTATCATTACCATTAATTTCATATATACTCAATTTTCAATTATTAAATTAATCAACAATTGAATATTTGAATTCCGAATTATTTTACCAATCAATAATCGAAATCGGAAGAATGACCATTATTTGATAATCACTAATATTTTTTGAAAATTTACAATTATTTACCTACTAGTTATTGAAACAATTTAAATTCTCAATTATTTATTATTTTCTAAGTTCCAATGATAAACGAATGAATTCGGTTATTTGGGGAAATAATTCTCTTAATATTTCTGGAATAATGATTGATGCCGATCACTGTTCGGGATATTGCAGAAAAACTCAAGTAGTTTTTACACTCTTCATGTAATAATACATGGTGTCCTAAAAGGAAATGTCGTCCTTCAAATGAGCCGCCGCCTATCCTCACGATTATTTGGAAAAATCCGAAAGTATCATTAAAGAATCCGAAATTTATATTTGAATGATTACCAAACATCCATTCGGAAGCACACAATTGATAGAATGATTTACCTTTTATGAAAAATTGAGATTTTCTTTATTTACAAAAGGCTCCAACCAACGCGTTTTGTCGTGAGACGCAACCATTCATTTTTACATTCATTTACATAGAATAGTATGAGGTATACTATTTTTTTTTTTAAGGATTTGACCCCTATATGGCACCCACATGAACCTATAGAGATATGAACATATTAGAAATACAGGTAATAATTCATTCTGAATGGCATTAGCAGGGTCATAGATAAGGATTAGAATTAGGGCCACAGTAAGAGTCAGAATCACAACCATCTCCTGAATTTTTAAGTCTCTTTAGTTTTTATTATGTAGAAAAAGAATTATATAATTTGTTATGTGTCTAGGTATAATTCGGTAGCAAAGTGGTAAAACGGTAGAAGTCAATTTTTACTATCGACCTGTTTTCAGTGACTATCTCGGATTCTAAGGGAGACGGCAAAATTGTTGTTATGACCTTTTTTGTACGGTCGATTGAGAGCTACAACAAATGTAATTACTCAAATTTCACTATCTCCCTTACATTCGGAAATATTCCTCAAAAACTCAACTGAGAGATAAGTCGACTTAAGGCCCGGGTGTACTTTCTTTCGAATGTTATTTAGATTTTTTCTGTCTTTCGTAATCCAAAATTGTCAATTAAGTGGTATATCATGTAGAAATTCCCAACAATTATGATAGAATGATAAAAAAAATAGAAAAATTCTGAACTTTTTCAAAGAACGTTTTTAATTGAGATTCAGAATGAGTTGAAAAAAGTGGAAATTACAAATATCTGATTCGCTGTGGCAAATTACCTATTAGCTGTCATTTTCCATGGTGGATAACAAAACACTAACTCCTCATGGGAAGTGACAGCTAGGTATCTCAATTTTCAAAACAGTGGTATGTAGTCATCTGCCATTTTTATGTGATAAAAGTGTGATTAAAAAATTCTCCAAAATATTACAACTTTTTTCAAAGAGCCTT